GAGCAGAAATCAAAGTGCTTCCTCTTAGTATCACTTGACTGAGAGCAAGCCAGATTTGACTTTTCTAAATCTTCCTTCTTTCATCCTGTTTGCCTGTTTGATGTGTCTAAATCTTACCTATCTGAAGGTTGTCTTGCGAATCTGTCCCTGTGTCTGTTTGTCCCTATGTGTCTGTCCTTGACAAAGGACTTTGTTCTCTCCTTCATTGAACAGCATAGTAAGTATCACATGGGGAAGGAACTGTGGACATTTCACAGAAATCTTTAACGGTTTCATAAATGATTAAGTCACTGACTCTAACTGACCCAGATAACAACAAATATTATTGAGCAATATCTGAATGCTTTGTTCAACATTCGGGGTGGCTATCCATTTTATGACATTTTCCACTTGTAATTGGTGTTTTCAGCAAATGATTATCACAACATACGTTCAAACACACATGCATTACTGCAGGATTGGGGCATGAAAGGATACATTACAGTTATGCATTGATTTAGGCTGCAAAAGTTGATTGCATGGGAAATCCAAGGCAAGTGAGGTTGGTTGCTTCATTGCTCACTTAAAGGCAGGTTAAACAAACAGGCTGAGTACACAATAGAACAGCAGTCTGAAATCTTAAGTGACCTTAAGGTGTATCATTAGCTCTGGCTTTGAGGACCAGCAAAGACCTCAGTCTCTTCAAATATAAGAATTACTTTTATAATAGTGATAGCCATAGCCTTCAAAATAGTCAACTTAATAAGTATGTTGTTCTGTTTTTTTTTGATGGTCTTACTGAGTAGCCTAGGCTAGTCTTAGTATACCTTTTGCTTCAGCCTCTTAAGTGCTGCAATTACAGGCATGCACCTCCATGACCAACATTCTAGATACTTTTTTTCTACACCTCACACTTAGTATAAAATGCTTTCTGCTTTCACTGCTACAAAGGTCTTTGAAGGGACAGGCACTCATGTTAGAAGGATGTATTTCTAAACAGGCTCACATGGCTGTGACGCTCAGGGAAGAGCAGGTTGAAAAGTGGAGATGAATGAATTAATGATGATCTCAAAGACTCTCTGACATTGCCATTTTTAGCAACTGTCAAGCACTCTGTAAACAGAACACGCTCTGTCTTGAGTCTTGATCATCCGTGGTGACAGATGCAATTCAAAAGCTATTCCAGGAGCAATCTTGCTCCACTTTTATTTTTGTTTTCACCTCAAACCATGACAAATTTCTTCTTTAAATTGCTAACATAATTACGTTATCGGAAATGACTAAAGTTGATACTCTAAGAGCCGAGTTCCTTTGTCAAAATGAGTATAATATCCTGTAGCCAAGAAAGGAAATATACTATTCTAGCCTTGATTTGTGCATATGTGTTTATACATATGTGTATGTATGTGGAGTGACAATATGTATACAGATAATGCTTTCTTTCAAATCCTAAATATAAGTAAACTCATTCAAATTACATTAAGTACAACTATACTATAAAGATAAATGCTAAAATGAATACAAATCTCCTGCTGTGGCAGAATGGGAAGCAACTCCTAAAGTTAGTTATGTTCTCTCAATTCTTTTGGCATCCATTCCAGCATCCCCTGATGGTAAGTCTTCCAACTTGGAAGGCCTTTGTTACAGTGAAATACACACTTAGTCTTTGCTTCTGTTCCTGGCAAAGGGAGTCCTGAGCAGTAGGAACAATTATTTTCTCTTCATAACCTTTTGGCCATAGCTGGGTGTGTGAATGGCATGTAGAGATGTTGCTGAGGGGTTGGATAACTTCAGGGCAGTCCCTGGTCCCCAGATAGACTAGAACTTTCAAAAAGTTGGAGTCAGATTATCAGGTCACAACTTTCAGTCTTATTCCTAACCTCTTGTAATAAGGTGAGAGGATTCAGTTCAAACTCACACACCAGTGGCTATTGATACAATCAGTCGACAACGCCTATGAAACTGCTAAAGATCAAGGTTGCCGATCAACAGTAGAGCACTGGCCTATATCAGGCAAACCAGCCTAGGCCCAATGCCCCGTACAACAAAGCAAAGCAAAGGAGAGTACAACAGGTACCACCACCACCACCACAACCTCGTAAACAACGAGGTTCTGGGGCTTTGAAACTGGTGACCACACAGATGTGCCGAGAGGCCACTACTCCTGGAAAGAGCATGGGCACTCTGTGCAGCCTCAAACCCTTGTATTTCTATTCAGATGATCCTGAGTTGCATTCTTTCTAATAAATCAGTGATCATAAGTGCTTTCTTGAGTTCTATGGGGGCCCTAAGGATGAGAATACCTACAAGGAAGACCAGACTGAGAGTGGAAGCAGCTAGTTGCATGAGCCCTGGCTTTCCCAGGAGAGGGCCTTATCTCTCACCACTGCTAACTTGAGCCCTCAGTTAAATCAAAGATGCACATTTCCCAGCATTTGTTTCCTTTTTTTCTGTAAACTAGATCATCATCATGGGCCCCAGAGACAAATTGAGAATTTTTCTCCTCAAAAACTGTAATGAACTCATTTCCCCACATAAACATATATTATGCCATTTTCCCTTATTATGGGGTTTTGACCAAGAGTCGGGCCTTTTCATTATGAGTCATTCTGAGGATGGGATTAAGAAATCCAAGTTTATAGTCTGCATAGTAAAATTGTGGCTAGCCTGGTCACCTCCTTTTAACTTTGTTTTGTTTTTCAAGATAGGGTTTCACTGTGTAGCCCTGGCTGGCCTAGAACTCAAGCTGAAGACCAGGCTGCCTCGAACTCACAGAGATCTGCCTGGCTCTGCCTTCCCAGTGCTGGGATTAAAGGTGTGTGCCACCACCACCCAGCTTTAAGATCATTTTTATTATATTTGTTCTTAGACACATATATACAATGCATGCTGTCAATTCTTGTCCCCTCACCTTGCCATTCCCGCCTTACCCATAAATCTCTCTTACATCATTATCTATTTGTTACCTACTGAGAATAAACAGGCATTTTAATGACCATGGGCTTAGAGTTATCCTTTGGAATGTGGGTTCAGCAGAGGGCACACAGCTAAAGACAGCGATCTCTCCTCTCCCCAAATCTATCAATATCTAATCATCCTTAAATAAAAGCAGGTCCCTGTGAGCTACTCTTGTTTTTGACAGGCTGTTGAAATGGCCAGTCTTGTGTGGGCTCAATGCATATAACTTCAGTTGTGAGTCAACGCTTGCAGTATTTGTTAGCAATTTCCTTTTTAGAATTCTATATGAACACTCTACTACTGGACTTCATCCCTAACCTATGGGTAGCCCATATGTGGCTGGTGTTTGAAGCTGACATTCTTACAAGACTATACTAATTGTAGGTAGAGTCAGAATTAGTGCACATTGTTGGGTACCCTGTTGCCACTGAAGTGGAGAATCAGTGTGGGAAATGATATATATTTGATTGTAGGTAGGGAAAAAGCAAAGGTCAAATGTTACAGTTTAAAGTAACTCATAGAATAAAAACAAAGGTTAAAGCTGGGCAGTGGTGGCACATGCCTTTAATCTCAGCACCCAGGAGGCACAGGCAGGTGGATCTATGAGTTTAAGGTCAGCCTAGTCTATGGAGTGAGTTCCAGGACAGCAAGAGCTACACAGAGAAACCCAGTTCTCAAAAGAACTCCCAAATAAAATAAATAAATAAAAATAAAGGTTATTTTTTTTTAAAGAAATGGGCCTAAGGCATTAGTGAGGCTCAAATTTGGGTGTAACTATCAAGGTATTTCTAGAGAGGATTATATAACAGGAGTAGACCCACCCTGAAGGCTGGTGGCACCATTTCCTGGACTGGGGTCCCAGAATGAATAAATAAGGAGAAAAAAAGGGAAAACCAAAGGACAACGACATTCGCCTTTCTCAGCTCCCTTATCCACCCGGATGTAAGTAAGGTCCTGCTGTCTTACCTTCCCCTCCATGACACACCATGTGCTAGAATAAAGCCTTCCTTAAGTAAGGTCCTGCTGTCTTACCTTCCCCTCCATGACACACCATGTGCTAGAATAAAGCCTTCCTTAAGTAAGGTCCTGCTGTCTTACCTTCCCTCCATGACACACCATGTGCTAGAATAAAGCCTTCCTTAAGTAAGGTCCTGCTGTCTTACCTTCCCCTCCATGACACACCATGTGCTAGAATAAAGCCTTCCTTAAGTAAGGTCCTGCTGTCTTACCTTCCCCTCCATGACACACCATGTGCTAGAATAAAGCCTTCCTTAAGTAAGGTCCTGCTGTCTTACCTTCCCCTCCATGACACACCATGTGCTAGAATAAAGCCTTCCTTAAGTTGCTTCCCATCAGTCATCTGCTCACAGCCCGGAGAAAGGTAACTAACACGGGAAGTATCTTCAATACTATGTCCTAAGTTTCCCTGAAAATATTTGTGCTTATTCTACAAATACCCTGCATTCTTTATAGACTTACAGGACTACAGGCCTTCATCTACCTCAAATTACTGTCTAACTATTCATTGTATCACAATTAAATTTCATACGCCAAATGAACATATTGGGTTTGGATAAAGGATGACTCATACAGAAATTTTTGGTATTATAAGAATTAATTTCCTGAATTATGACATTCAAACATTGAACATCCCATGTTTTTTTTCCTTTTTAATTGTCTGTGTCTATGTGTGCCAGAATGAATGCTTCTATGCTAAAGAGTATGTCCCCTCTCTCAAGGCCTTGAATAATGCCAGGCACAGTCAAGGACACCCACTGAATGAGTATGCGAGTGAATAGCAGAAGGGTCAAAATGAGTCAATACAATCATATTCAACCATTCCCTCAGCCTCCTGGTGGCCCATGGGGACACATGTCTTAATCCATACAGAATCACTGGTCAAGGAAATCACTGTGCATAGTTTCTGATCACTGGTGGGGGGCTGGTAGTGCTAGCTGTGGCTTCCCTCATCTCCCTGGCAACAAGATCACCTTTCCCTGCTATTTGATTGCCCAAACAAGCCCTGGAGAGCAGCAGGCAGCTTCTAGAGATCTCTTTCATACCTGTTGTTGTCCACATAGCGGATGAGCATGGGGTAGAAGGCATAGAGGTCCCGGCAGAGGATCGCAAACTCGTCTAGGATGAGGAGCTCAGCCTCCTGGGTGTCCCCCTTGACATCAGTCTTCAGCTGCTCCTCCTCCTGCACCGTCTTGACGGCCTTCTTCTTGAGCTTCTCCAGGGTGGGGATGAAGTGGCTTTTCAGCAGATCAGGCCTGGCTTTGCTGATGATGGGCTGCGCATACACTGCGTTTGCAAACAAAACACCTTATTCCTATTAATGCTGTGACCATTAATAACAGTGAAAGGTGAGACTGAGGGATCTATCAAGCCAGGATGATACCTGTGTCTAGCTCCCTCCTTCCTTGTTACTTCCCTCTCATGAAAGCTCACAGTGGAGGTTGGGGATCTAGGACAGCTGCAGAAGGTAGAAACACTACTCAGCTCTTCCAGGCCACAGGCGCCCCACCCTACATGGATTCCTCATGTATGCGAGGCCTATGCCATACCTCTCCTCTCTTCTTACAAACTGTCTTGCACCATCTGACAGTTGTCCATGTTGGTCTTATTCTACCAGCTAGATTTTATGTCCCTGAAGGAAGCCTTTTGTTCATAAAAATCAGTACTTGTGCTGACCTGGGAGCGAGCACTTTCTATCGAGGTGATATGTCAGTCGTCCTGAACTGTCATTATACATAGAAAACGTGCACTGAAAGTCACACTGTACCACAAATACGTATGATTATTGTGTGCTGAAAATAAAATGTATATGTGTGTTTATGTGTGTATGTATATACATGCTTTCTAATTATTTCATTTTAAAAAATCAGCCCAAAGCACAATAGCCCAGTCAAGTTCTAAGCCCTCAGCACTGGCATCTTCTTTGGGCTTTAAGTGGGGGAGCTAAACATTGGCTGGGAAAGACTGGGGCATTGCTGTAAGCAGAGAAGCTGAACAAGGAATTAGAGGACTGCAATGTCGGCCTTTTGTAAGAAGAATGATAGATATCCACATGTCCTATCCTATTTCTATATTCCCTTGACTAGATACCAATTATACTATTATGAGTTAGGCCAGCTGAACTGAAGAGTCTGAATCTAAGAATCAGGGTAATGGCAGCAAAAAAGTGAAATGAAATGAATGTGCGCTGAACCATAGACAGTGGACATTCAAATGTCCATTTTGACATTTTTTTAGCTTAGGGAAATTCAATTAAGAACAGCTGCATTCCAGAGGCTTTTCTTTTTCATCTCATTTTTCTTTATGTTTTGCTTTTCTAATAAAAGAGAAAGAGATAGTTTCAACCAGATAAGGCAAAGGTAGCTTTATGATGACCATGTATTAGCCAAGGAGTCCTGACTTCTCAGCATTCCCCCAGGCATAGAACTGCTACTCTAGGTTACTACTTAAAACTTGCATTAGTCACCAGGAATTAAGTGGCCTCACTGAATGAGATCTGGATTGCTGCAGGAAGGACAACTTAAGTTCTCTTTCTATTAGTGCCCCTCAGAGCAGTGACAGGTACTCTGGGGAGCAGCCTTCTCTCAACTCAGGTTTATAGATGAGCACCCATCAAGTTGCCTTGTGATTGATTAACAACCTTTTTAGGGTAATTGGAAATAAGGGGCTGTCTACTCTGCTTATTATATGTCCATGGGTCTGTGTTACCCAGCAATCAAAATAGTTATAATTTTAATCTCAGCTCATTTCTGAGATAGGAAGTAGGTAGGAGTATTTCCCACTCATTCTAGTAATGTGTCTATTCATTTGTCAGGAAAAGGCACCAGGCAGTGTTGTGTTCCCTGTGGCAATTCATGGCCCAAAAGGTTGTATGGGGGAAGCTGTGGCAAGTGGATTCCATTATCTAAACTGAAGCTCCATCAAAATCGATGATTTTCCACATTGTTGAGCTCCCCAGACTCTAGTTTGACACGCAGGATGCTAAATATTCATGGTTTCTTGACTGTGTAAAGTATACTCATTTTCCAAAACTTTGCCTCTTTTGGTTGCTTCAAGAACAGAAAATTGGTTAATAGCGTTCATTAAGAGCCTACTGCATGCCAGGAGTTAAAGAGGAATACAAAGAGAGGGAAAAAAATCAACAAAACAAAGTGCTGCTATTATTAGCTACATTCAAGCCAGTCTTAGAAAGCAAAAAGTGAAATGCAAATACTGAATGACATTGAGAAATTTAGTACAGCCTGGATGGGACTGAGTTTTACATAAGTGTCAAATGCAAAGGGTTACTTACCCATACATCATAGATAATTACTAACAGAAGAGCCAGTGGGCTTCTTAAGCACCCCAAACAAATAAGACAAAGATCATCGCAGTGGAACACAGCCCATCTAAAGGGCTCCTTGAAGATTTGAGGGGCCTGGATTAGTAGGGGAGGAGGACTGGAGTAATTACTTGAAAAAAATATGTCCATTCGGTTTTCCTGTGTTGTTTTTGCTTGAGACAGGGTCTCACTTGGCCCAGGCTGGCATTGAATTCCCACGTTGACAAGGCTGGCCTTGAACTTGTGATCATCCTACCTCTAGTTCCTAAGTGTTTCCATTACAGGGCTGTACCAACACAGCTGGTTTATGCACTGCTGGGGATTGAACCCAGGGCTTGACACATGCTAAGCAAGTACTCCACAAACCATGCTACATCCCCAGTCCTGAGATTGCTGTTAAGCAAATGGGAGGTAGATGATTAAAACACAGAACAGAACTTGCTCAAAATCATCACAGAACTAACAAGAGTTAAAAAGAGAATCTGGCTGCTTTAACTCCAGGGTCAGAGACTGAGAGAAAGGGCACTGGTACCTGCGATACGCTTCATCCAGGAGGCCTCATCAATGCCTAGGTTGTTGTTGATGATTTTCAGGATGTTGCCCAGGATGAGGCTGAGGTGTTCGGAGGTGACCTTGGTGCAGCAGGGCCCTGTGCTGGGGGTCAGGTTCTCAGGTCCCCGCTCCCACCAGTAAGACAGGTAGTTGCAGAGCATGGGCAAGATCACTTCAATGACATGGGGCATCTCCGTATAGCGGGCACCTGACTCGGCCAACCTATTGATTTCCTTCATCAGGCCTTCCAGCTGGGGCATGTCAGGACACATCTCTTCCACCTTGTCTGGCATCCCCAGAACTGACCAAGAGAGTACAGGAAGAAGAAAATCACAGTGATTCAAAGGCACAGTGATGGGGCATACCCTTCTTTTGGTCTTAGACATAAATTTCCACTGTAGATCCTTGAAAGAATGAGCTTGGAGGACAGCAGCCTCAGGACTCAGGTTATGTGTGTACAGACTTGCAGCTTCCAGGGGCATTTTCCTAAATGTCACACGGAAGTTAAAACCAGATAGTTAAACAAGCACCATGGAGACTCTGCTGAGGGATAGCGCATAAGACAACTTGGTGACACAGATTCCCGGCTATTCCCTTGGCTTGCCTATTGGACCTTGGTGTCCACTGCAATAAAGGCAGTGCCAGGGGTAAAATAACTCCTTAATGTTCAGGTGCTGAATTATAGTTTGTTCACCCAGATCATTTCTGTACTGCCGTAAAAGGGAAAGGCAAACACTTCTGCGGTTAATACTTAGCATCTAGTTGAAAATACACTGAGGGAAAAAAATCATGGATTGATTTTCTGCCTTTACAACAGAAATGATCAATAACCTCAGGAGACTTAATTGACTTCCTGTCAGTCATTCACTTTGTTGTTTAAGAAAGCATATTTACAGGGACTAGTGAGTTAACCCCGTTTTCTCCATCTCAAATGACTGAGGTCAATTCACTGGATAAGAACAGCCAGGATGAAATGAAACTATACTTCAACATTATACCAGAGAGGATTAGGAAATTATTATTTTTTTTTAAAAAAAGTAGAAACAACAACAAAAAGGATTATTTGTCCTGTTCCTTTAAAGCAAGGAATACTTTCCCCTGAAAGATAGGTCTGACAGGCAGACCATTGGGATAGAAAGGAGGAACCAGGAATACATTAATGAAGTTATAATCATCTACATTTTTACAAAGCTGTCAAAAAAACACACATTGGAGAAAAGGCAGCCTCTTTAACAAATGGTGCTGGAAAACTAATTTTCCACGCGTAGAAGAATGAAACTAACTTTATAGTGGTGGTGGTTTCGGTGACAAATATCTCCTGCATCTTATGTATGTGAACACTGGGTCCCTGGCTGGTGGGATTTGAGGGTTTAAAGCCTCACTCTATTTCCTACTTGTTCTCTCTTCTTCCTTTATGCAAATAAAATTTAACCAGCAGCTTCCTGCTTCTGCTGGCAGGCCACGCTTTCCCTGCCATCATGGCTCTAACCCTCTGCAATCATAAGCTAAAATTGTTTTTGGTCATTAGAAGTGACCAATACAAACTCTCTAATCCCTGTAGAAAAGTCAATTCAAAATGTCACCTATAGTCCATCTCAATGCTGGCTATTGCTAAAGGTTGCAACCGTCTTGTACTCTGCAGCAGAAAATGTGGACAACAACCTGTGAATCCTGGGAGACCTTGACAAACAAGGTAATTTTACATACACACTTTCAGAATAAATCGTTAAGAGCTGAGAAGTCAAACTTCCCACCAGGAGCTCCATCTACAGAACAATGCCAGCCACCACTAACACACCTATTTGCTGTTACAATTATAAATGAGAAAGTTCATGTGTTATGTTTAAAAGTCACACAGACACTACATCACCATAGGCACTTCTTTCTCTTGTCTAAGAACAAGTGGCTGCTTGAGCTTGTGAAGAAACAGCCTGACACCATCTTAGGCTTAAAAGCCATCTTATAGTAGAGACAAACTAGTTTCATTTCTGTTTGTGATTAGGCCTCTGTTTTTCAAGGATTGGGCTATATCCTACCTGTTTATAACCATCTTGCAACCCTACCTTTTGTTTAAGAAAGCATATTTACAGGGACTAGTGAGTTAACCCCGTTTTCTCCATCTCAAATGACTGAGGTCAATTCACTGGATAAGAACAGCCAGGATGAAATGAAACTATACTTCAACATTATACCAGAGAGGATTAGGAAATTATTATTTTTTTTTAAAAAAAGTAGAAACAACAACAAAAAGGATTATTTGTCCTGTTCCTTTAAAGCAAGGAATACTTTCCCCTGAAAGATAGGTCTGACAGGCAGACCATTGGGATAGAAAGGAGGAACCAGGAATACATTAATGAAGTTATAATCATCTACATTTTTACAAAGCTGTCAAAAAAACACACATTGGAGAAAAGGCAGCCTCTTTAACAAATGGTGCTGGAAAACTAATTTTCCACACGTAGAAGAATGAAACTAACTTTATAGTGGTGGTGGTTTCGGTGACAAATATCTCCTGCATCTTATGTATGTGAACACTGGGTCCCTGGCTGGTGGGATTTGAGGGTTTAAAGCCTCACTCTATTTCCTACTTGTTCTCTCTTCTTCCTTTATGCAAATAAAATTTAACCAGCAGCTTCCTGCTTCTGCTGGCAGGCCACGCTTTCCCTGCCATCATGGCTCTAACCCTCTGCAATCATAAGCTAAAATTGTTTTTGGTCATTAGAAGTGACCAATACAAACTCTCTAATCCCTGTAGAAAAGTCAATTCAAAATGTCACCTATAGTCCATCTCAATGCTGGCTATTGCTAAAGGTTGCAACCGTCTTGTACTCTGCAGCAGAAAATGTGGACAACAACCTGTGAATCCTGGGAGACCTTGACAAACAAGGTAATTTTACATACACACTTTCAGAATAAATCGTTAAGAGCTGAGAAGTCAAACTTCCCACCAGGAGCTCCATCTACAGAACAATGCCAGCCACCACTAACACACCTATTTGCTGTTACAATTATAAATGAGAAAGTTCATGTGTTATGTTTAAAAGTCACACAGACACTACATCACCATAGGCACTTCTTTCTCTTGTCTAAGAACAAGTGGCTGCTTGAGCTTGTGAAGAAACAGCCTGACACCATCTTAGGCTTAAAAGCCATCTTATAGTAGAGACAAACTAGTTTCATTTCTGTTTGTGATTAGGCCTCTGTTTTTCAAGGATTGGGCTATATCCTACCTGTTTATAACCATCTTGCAACCCTACCTTTTGTTTCAAAAGGTTATATGACCACTTATGACTATCTTGCTGTCTTACCTGTTGTTACGGCTACCTTGTTATGCCTACCTTGCAACCAAATCTTTGTTTTAGGAGGTGGTTAGGATTAACTTGTTATGCTTATGTTCTGTTCCTGTAACCTCACCAAACCCTCCATTTAGAAACCCCCTACCCTTGAACTATAAAAGCCTTGTCTTCCTCATATCCAAGGATGACCTCTCAAACCCTGTCTTAGGGGGAGGCAGCCTGTGTACATAAATAAAAAAATGCCAATTTAATTGCTTTCTTTAATTAATTTGGCCATGATGATTTGGATTGGTGGTCTTCTTCCTTCTTTGGGATTAACATTTGGTGCATTGGAGTCATGATAACGACCTTTAGAAATTATTTATATGTACAATAATGGAAGCAACATTTATGATTCAGAAGGTGTTTTGTGCTCCAAAGGCCACACAATAAACTCAGTGAACTCTGATGAATTAGCTCTCTGAAGTCAGCCTGAAATGAGTGCTGTTAGTAGCAGACACAAGAGTGCTAGTAAAGTCATTAGAGCATGCTGCCCCTCTAGTTTCTAGATAGTGGCTCTCATGGTGGGGTCCACTCATCTAACCCAGAAGAGATGCATGACCTCAGGCCCTACTCTAGGTCTACAGAGTTAGAAACATCAGTGACAGTAGTAGGGCTGGTGATTTTTTAAAATTAATTTTTATTTAAATTAAAACAATATTATTTTACATACCAATCCCAGTTCTCTCTCCCTCCTGTCCTCCCATTCCCCCTACCATCTCTCCATTCCACCCTCCATCCACTCTTCAGGGGACGGGGGATCATCAAAGATTGTCATATCATTTGGGGCAGGACCAAGGCCCTCCCCCATGTCTTTAGGCTGAGAGGGAATGGGCTCCAAAAGCCCCTTTATGTACTAGGGATAAATACTGGTACCACTACCAGTGGCCCCATAGACTGCCCAAGCCCCCCCAACACCCATGTTCACGGGGCTTAGTTCAGTTTTATGCAGGTTCCCCAGCTGTCAGTCTTGAGCTAATAGAATGCATATGCCCTATTGTGATGCCCTTCTGAATAAAGCCTACTAAAAGGTAGTCATATCCCTAGGTACAGGTCAGAAATGGAGACCTGGGGCAGACAAAAGACCCCAAGGTCTTGAGATGGCAGGACACTGGAATCTAGCCAGACTGTTTCTTCATTGTATGAAAGAGCTATCAAAAGCCTTATGATCAAAACAGTTTCATTCAAGCTCATTTCTCCAACAAGACAGAGACATAATCTGGTCCCTAACTCTGATCCACTACCTACATTCACATTGTGATGATTAACTCTGTTAACTTAATGGGATCTAGAATCACCTGTAAGTTCACCTGTGAAGGCATCGTCAGAGAAGTTTTGCTGAGGGAATACCTACTCTGAATGTGGGTGACACCACTCCATGAGGTGAGGTCTCAGGGTGAATAAAAAGGAGGAAATGTATGGTGGCATACTCCCTTAATCCTAGCACTTAGGAGTCAGAGGCAGGTGGATCTCTGTGAGTTCAAGGCCAGTCTGGTCTACAGAGCGAGTGCCAGGACAGCCAGGGCTACATAGTGAAACCGTGTCTCAAAAAACAAACAAACACAAAGGCAAAAGTGCCTTATACTTTTCTCTCCATGTCTTCTCTGCCTTGAAGGACCGTATTCCTTAAACCACAAGCCACAATAAAATGTCTTTCCTTGTATGTTTTATCTGGTACAAGAAAAGTAGCTAATAATATATCATGTACCCTACAGGGCTGATGTTCCATCACCACCCCCTTTCTGGCTAGTCCCTGGGTTGACGATCTCTGTGAGAAGATACTTACTAGACCGTTCCCTGGGAGTCTTGGTGTTGAAGACTGAGAGGGGATTATAGCGATTAAGGCTGGGCTCCAGGAATGCCACTGGGATGGCAGCTGCCAGGGAAGCCAGACATTCTCCAAGAGCGGGACGTTGCCTGGAGACAAAGAAATCCATTTAGAAATGATGCCATCTGTATGCTGACCCCACACACCAGTTATGATGTCTCACACTACTTTCCTATGCTTTTCATGCATGGGACATCTCGAGGCACAGTAAAGCTGCATGCACTTCCTCTCCCATCTTTATCCGGATATTAATGATTTAGATTGAGCTCATTGCTTTGAACCTAGTGTGTGGATGATATAATGATACACTGTGGGGGCTGTTATAGAACCGTCATGGAAATAACAGCCTGCAAGGGAAGGGATGCTTGGAACCAAGAGTCAATGCCATACTAACGAAAATCTGTGGAACAGGTTGTCAGTTGTAGGATACACTCCAGTTCCCAACCTGTACCCAAGACTGTGTGTTAGTTACCCCTCACTGTGACAACCAACAATTTTAACAGTCACCAAGAAGCTGGGATAGATTCTATGAAAGTTGATAACAAGGATTTATAGAGGTGGTAGCTGTTTTGTTTTTGTTTTTTAACAGAAGAGTCAGCCACTTTGGTGTCTTCTCGGTGGTGAAAGTCCTTTCTTGCTGATATAGACCAAAGACAGAACATGTGTTCTGTATATGTGGGAACACCAGACCTTGAGCAGAGACCCACTTCCCCTTCTGCCTGGGAGTAGGCAGCTGTAAGACAATGTTTAGTAAAAACATGTTTACTAAAAACAATACAATAAGTTCCTGGCCACTTCCCCTTCTGCCTGGGAGTAGGCAGCTGTAAGACAATGTTTAGTAAAAACATGTTTACTAAAAATGATACAATAAGTTCCTGGGAAAGGCCTTCCCACAGAAACCGCCCTGACCTCGACCTTGTCCAAAGACTAACCGCACCTTCAAAAACCCACACACATCCACCTCTGGGGTCAGAGCAGAACCAGCCAGGGGAGAGGAGAGAGCAGAAGCTTCTCTGGTGGGAGCTTTTCTTAGGAGGTTTTTCTTGAACCTTTTTGGAGCCTGTTTAAAGTTCTCTTTATATCATTGAACGAGTCTCTGTGTTTTCAATACCCGACACCCTCCGCACGTTCTCGGACACAGGCCGCGCTGCAGACGTGACAATTGGAGGTCCCACTGAGATCGTGAAAGCGAGGTAAGTGGACGGGGTTAAGAAACTATGGGGAATAGTTCCAGGAAGCTAGAATCATTGCAGTATCAACTAAAAAAGTTACTTAAAGAACATGGGACTGCAGTCAAGTCTAAAACCCTAGAAGGCTTTCTAAAATCGATCGAACGAGCCAGTCCATGGTTCATTACTGGGGGAAGCTTAAATATTCCAGATTGGGAGGAGGTTCGCCGTGATCTTCATAGACTTTTACGAAAAGAAGGATCTGAGTCCTTGCCCCCTACGACATTCTCCTTATGGAGATTAGTGAGGGGAGCACTTTTGACAGATAAGGTTCGTCACCGCCAGGTAGTTCAGGACACAAAAGAGGCTTTTTAGAGTTACAAGAGACTGAGACTCAAGCCTCCTTGAGTTCAGGGGCAGAGAGTGATGATGAAGAGACCATGATTGAAACTAGAGGCTCCATTGTTAGTGAGGATGAGGAGGAGTCTCTTAGTAACAACAAAAAAACGGGTAGACATCTCCGGGCGCGACCCAAAAGAAGGACTCCGGTCAGAATCGGTTATATCCTTCTCTATCAGACCTAGAAAATGGAAGTAGCTCAGACTCAGACTCGTCACAGTCTGAAAAGGAACGGTTACTTGCTGAGATCGCGGCCCTTAAAAAAGAACTAAAAAGATTCTAATTAAGGAAAGACAGGACAGGGAGAGAAACCCTTCCCCATACTCTGAAAAAAGGGACTCCTCCTATGAGATAACCCAGTCCTTCTTGGACCTGGAGGGAAGACCCAGAGGAGGGGTCCAATGCTGCCCGGTGGTGGCCCCGGTAATGGAAGTTCCAGACCCGAACAATTCTCGACAGGTCATTCGGCGCCATGACCCTTTAAGTTTCAAAGATATAAAACAACTGAAAGAGGCAACTTTAAATTATGGAGCACAGGCTCCCTTTACACTTTCCTTAATGGAATCTTTTGCGTCTCTTAATTTGACACCTGGCGATTGGCAGCAGCTTTGCAGAGCAGCTCTGTCGGGGGGAGATTATTTGATTTGGAGAGGTGAGTTTCAGGAAAGATGCAGCCAGACAGCCCAAAGGAATGCACAGGCCGGACAGCCCCAGAGAAATGTGGAGATGCTTACCGGAAGTGGTCAATACGCCACCATTCAGCAGCAAATGCAATATGACATCGCAGTCTATGCCCAAGTGGCAGCAGCGGCCCAAGGGGCTTGGAAGGCATTGCCTTCCAAGGAAGGAGGAGATCATCTGTCCAAAGTCCTTCAAGGACCTTCCGAACCTTTTCAAGACTTCGTAGACCGTCTCAGTCAGGTAGCAGAAAGAATATTTGGGGGCATTGGGCCTGCGATGCCAGTCATCAAGCAGATGGCATATGAAAATGCAAATAAATATTGTAAGGAAGCCCTTTGCCCCTATCGCAATAAAAGTCTAAATGACTATATCCGGATCTGTAGGGACATTGATGGGAACTTCATCCAGGGCCAAGTGTTAGCTGCTGCCATTCGGCCCCAAGTGGGGAAAGAAAGACCTACTCTGGGAGGGAGAAAAACATGTTTCAGCTGCGGTAGGGAGGGACACTTCCGTAGAGAGTGCCCTCAAAATAGTACTACGGGTCTCAAGAGACCTGGTTTATGCCCCGTTGTCGAAGGGGATATCATTGGGCCAATAACTGCTACTCTAAAACTGACAGGGAGGGAAATTTCCTTTCTGCTAATAATAATCAGGGAAACGGGAGGAGGGCCCCGCCCCAGGGCCCCAAAACCAATGTGTACGGGGCAATGACCCCTGCTCTGGGCAGTGGCAGGACTCATTTTCTCCCCCAGAGCAACCCCTTCATATCTCAGACCTCCTTAGAGCCACCTCAGGGAGTGCAGGATTGGACCTCGCTCCCTCTGCCCGGGCAATCCTAACACCGGAAATGGGGATCCAGGCCCTCCCTACTGGGGTGCATGGGCCATTGCCCCCAGGCACGGTCGGACTACTTTTGGGACGGTCCAGTACTATTCTTCGAGGCATCCAGGTACACCCCGGTGTTATAGACCAGGATAGTGAGGGGGAGATTAAAATAATGACATCAGTGGGCAGTGGGGTTGTTGCCATCCCTGCAGGAGAACGGATTGCTCAGATACTCCTTCTCCCTACAGCTCCTTGTGAGGCTAGAAAAATTAAAGAGAAAAGGGGCAACCAAGGTTTTGGAAGTACCGGCCCGGCAGCATTTTGGGTAGCCACTATGGAGAGCCGCCCCAGCTTACATTAAAGATAGAAGGCAAGTCCTTTAGGGGCGTCTTAGATTCTGGGGCAGATTTCTCTGTCCTCTCAGATAAATTCTGGCCCCCGCCTGGCCGAAAGAGGAAGGAACAGTGACCCTCCAGGGAATAGGACAGGCTGTGCCCCAAAAAAGCCTCAGAATCCTAAAGTGGCAAGACTCTGAGGGCCACACAGGGCTTTTCCAGCCATATGTTTTGCCTGGCCTCCCTATTAACCTCTGGGGACGGGACCTCATGCAAGAAATGGGAGTGGTCCTCACCACTCAGGCACCCAAGTCCAAAAGCAGGGGCCCCCAGATGATGCAAGGGAGGGGCTGGAGCCCGGGGAGGGAACTAGGTAAACTAGAACAGGGAGAGGTTTGCCCTGTGGCATCCCTCCCTTTGGAGACCAGGGCCCCAGGGGATAGGAAGGGTTTTGGCCATTTTTGATGAGGGTCACTGTTGCGCCGCCAGCCCCCATACCCATCACATGGCTATCAGATGATCCAGTATGGGTGGAACAGTGGCCCTTACCAGCGGAGAAACTAAGGGCGGCTCACCAGCTAGTTCAAGAACAATTGGAGGCAGGTCATTTGGTTCCTTCCACGTCCCCTTGGAATACCCCTATATTTGTAATAAAAAAATCTTCAGGGAAATGGAGGTTACTACAAGACTTGAGGGCCGTGAATGCGACCATGCAGCCTATGGGGGCTCTGCAGCCTGGCTTGCCCATGCCTGTGGCCATTCCTAGAGACTGGCATTTGATTGTCATTGACTTGAAGGATTGCTTCTTTTCTATTCCCTTGCATTCTCAAGATAGTCCTCGGTTTGCATTTAGCCTTCCTTCGATTAACTTTAGGGAGCCTGCCCTTCGCTTCCAATGGGTGGTGCTCCCCCAAGGGATGGCTAATAGTCCAACTATATGCCAGATTTATGTAGCTGCCTGTTTAGATCCCCTCAGACGTAAGTTCCCTGATCTTTACATTATCCACTACATGGATGATATTCTTTTGGCTGCGGCCGAAGAAAGACAATGTTACATAGCCTTTGCAGAGCTACAGGAGCTTCTGGAGGCCCGAGGATTTATTTTGGCTCCTGAAAAGATCCAAAAGAGACCCCCTTATACTTATTTGGGTCATCAAATTCAACAAACTGGCCTCAGGCCACAAAGACTCCAAATTGATTGTTCAAATTTAAAAACACTTCATGATTGGCAGAGATTTTTGGGAGAGGTACAGTGGTTTCGCCCTTCTCTTTCTATTAAAACAGGGGCTCTTAAAGCGCTTTATGATATTCTTCCTGGAGATCCTGCTCCAACTTCCCCTAGACAGATTACCCCAGAGGCCAGGGAAGCCCTACAATTGTTGTTAAGAAGTATAGAGCAAGCACACCTTTGGCGTATAGATTATGGGCAGCCCCTTGTTCTAGTTGTACTTTCATCTAGCTTTTCGCCCACTGCCGTGTTCTGGCAGACTGGTCCTATTTATTGGGTACATTTGTCAGCCTCCCCTAAGAAGGTAGTGACCCCTTACTATGATCTCATTTTACAATTGTTGTGGAAGGCACACAAGTTTAGCATTCAAACCTTTGGAAAGAGTCCTGATAAAATTATCCTTCCTTATGGTAAGGAGGAGGTGGAACATCTACAGATCTTCCATGATGGGT